AAAAAAAAATATGATGCTAATACGAAGTTAATAATATGATAGGGTTATGTTGTTCTTGAATGAGCAGACTAATTTTTAAGCCGGTTATCATCTGCGAATTCTAACGTAAACCTCGTACCGTGCCATCTCTCTCAAAACGGCAGAAACTTATTTGTACTCCTAATAATTACTATTTCTAAAACAATTAATTTAATATTTCATACAATTATGTAAAATTAAAAAATTAACAAATTTATTATACATAAAAAATACAATGCAACTCATTTTTCCGTCTCACTTAACAGACTGCGGACTGTCGGATAAACATTTATAAAATTTCTATCCGGTATAATTAAAAACTGAGATGCAAAGCATGTAGTATTAGGTTTGTTTTACTTGCATACACGAAAAGTGTAAAGTGTACACCTTACACTTTTAATACATTACATTTTTTGGAAGTGGGGGAAACATTGTGTAAAGTGTATGCTTTTCAAGAAAAACGCCAGAGTGTAACAAAAGTGTACTACAGTGACTACGTTTACACGCACTGGTAAAACCGTTTTAATAACAACCGAAGTTATGAAACTGGCCAATCACAGTCATTCCATTCTTTACAGGAATACTTATGATTGGTTAGTTTCATAAAAACGGTTGTTATTAAAACGGTTTTATCAGTGCGTGTAAACGTAGTCGTAGTCAGTTATTTGTGCATAGTGTTGCTTGTTTTAAGTTTTAAGCATTTTTAAGTAAAAAAAAGTAAAAAATATTTAGTTTTTTAAAAGTTAATAATTGTACTGTTACAAGTGTAACATAAATAGAATAAATTCAGAAATGCTTGGTCATATTTTGGAGTTTGATCTGTCATCCGATTAGAAAAGAAAAAATAAAAAACAAAATAAATAAAAAAACAAAAAAATACTACACAAACAAAATAATTTTTAATAATTTAACATGTAACGATGCAAATCGTTACGACCGGGACCGACCATCCGTCCCGGCCAAAAACACGCTCCAGGGGGAATCTTGTATTCTCCGCCGAGTAAACCGGCATCCGCTCCGCTCCAGGGGGAATCTTGTATTCTCCGCCGAGTAAACCGGCCTCCGCTCCGCTTCAGGGGGAATCTTGTATTCTCCGCCGGGCAAACCGGCATCCGCTCCGCTCCAGGGGGAATCGTGTGTTCTCCGCCGGGCAAACCGG